AGCAGACATCAGGGCATCAATTTTGCTTTCGAGATCCTTCATCTTTTCGGCATCATCTATATCCTGTTTTGGACAATTTTTGAGAGGAATAATACGACCACCCCCAGTGTTATCATCATTGGTAGGTACACCCTCAGCATCGTTATTTTTAGTGGGGCCACCCCCAGCGTTGTGTTCATCCACATCTGAATCGCTACCTGCTTGGTTAGCAGTGCTGCGACGGCTGGATTCTCCTAGCTGATTCGACAAGGCTCGGATTTGTTGGTCGTGCATTTGTCTCATCTCCTGCATAGCCATTTCCATCTCAATCTTGAATGCCTCTTTTTGTTTGGCCAAGGCTTCCTCAACCATTTTGGTTACTTCCTCGGTGTTAATCATAAACACTTCACAGGATTGTCCTGGACTGGATACCGTATTATCAGAGGCAATTGCCGAGTTAGCATCTGATGCTTCATCATCCGAGGATAAACCTCTTTGCATTCTCTGATAATCTCTTTGTCTAATAGTTCCTGATCGTAACCGGGTTAGACGATGCGATACAAGCGGATCAGAGCTAGAAGGTCGAATCGATTTTCCCTTATCAACCATATTGATGGTAACCTCTGGGGGTTCGTCACCTTGAACGACCGATCGTTTCTTACGGAGACGCTTTTGATTGGACTTAGCCTTTTCGTTGGAGATCCTCTCAAATATCGCGACCCTCTACGGAGCGGTCTTGGGGCAGCTACACGCTGATAATACTGCCCTAATAATTTTGATACACGGACAGTGAGAGTCCGCTTCCCGAGTACTTCTCTTTTGAGATTTATTCGTACCCCTAGCCCGATAGTACAACTCATCGACGTTGCGGTCGGAGTAACCTATCGGCTGCTTACATGGATTCTCAGGTATAACGCGTTCGTCTGTCTGACGCGTTTTCCTCTGAGTAAACATTGCCTTGTTGGCATCTACAGGAGTCACACGTTTGGAATCACACCCTTGTGAGGGTGAAACCTTAACGGGCTCCTGGTTTTCTGCACGTACCTCTAAGCGGGCTGTTGTAGAAATTTAATTTGTTAGGAGGTCGCGTACGACCCCCAGTCTGGATGTTTGCTTGAAGCTCCTTTAACGGTCTCAAGCTTTCCTTAACAAGCGCTTTTTCTCGATTCTCGGGTAGGGCACCGACACGATCCTTCAATGGGATTCTAGATTTGGAGAGACCCACACTGTCATAGGGCTTCACCGGAAGTGCGGGAGCAGGGTCTGGAGTTGACGAAGGCCGGAGAGCAACGTCGCCTGCTTTTGCCTTAGGCACTGATTTGGTTTTTTGCACCCAAACTTGTTTGGATCTCGGCGATCTCTTAACTACCTCTCCCTTTTGCATTTCCTGTGCTTTTCGCACAAGGGTCCGGGCATGCGCAAGCAAGGCGCGGCGCTTCTGGATTCGCTCCTCGAGAGTAGAGCGGGTTCTTTTGACACGAACCCATTCGTTAATTGGAGATCGAGAGGAGGATTCCGATGCTGGTCGTGGCGACAGATTAGCCACTTGGCGCTTTCTGAACTCCAGATCTGCTTGGTAATGGAGTCCATCCACCTGATCCAAAGCCTTGGCGAATTAGTACGCGAGGCGTTGGCGTTTTCTTTGACGTGCTCTCTTTGATAGAGTTGGCGCATCTTCAGCAGTCGGCTCCTTGATCGCGAAGGAGTTCAGATCTGCAGATCTGGTCTCATTGGATGCCGATATTCGACCTCTTCGAGCACCGGGATCTTGATCGTCGGCTGCGGCACGACAGCTTCGTCAGCGAAGCTGTTGGCTCCCACTGTGGTCACCAGTTTGTTTGCGGTGAAAGTTGATATTTTCATTGTTATCGAATCTATTACAACTTTAGTCGTTACAATAAACTCGAATTAAATAAAAAAAGTTGATCTTTTTATAAGATCTCTTTACACAATGAAAATAAAAAGTTTACAACTTTATCAAACAAACGCAGAGATCGTTTATCGGTCTTTTGCTTGCGTGGGATCTTTGCCTGTGTCGGGGTTTATCCGTGGACCACCGTCGATCAGATCTGATTGCTGAAAAATTCGGCAGAGCTTCGTCTATCCGCGAAGGGATCGAGAAAACCGTAGCTCTTATCTCGGTGAAGCGAGATAATCACTCTTCTTAAGATTACCGTAACGGGATAATCCTAAGGAACGGATCCGGGAAACTGTAGATCTGATGAATCTCTCTCTCTTGCGTTGAAGAACTCGATCCGATCTCTCCTCCTCCTCTCTGAAATCCGTGCACCTTCGGTCTTCAATCCGGCAGGGCTTCGCCTAATCTTCCAAAATTCCAGATCTGAAAAAATAAGGACACGGGGGCTCTATTTATAGGCTTTACGGACGTCCGGGCGGTTAAAACCACCTAAAAGACCATTTATGCATTGGAGACACCCCAGGGTGTCTCAAACTGGGCCGAGACACCCAAGGGTGTCTCGCTCGTGCCGAGACACCTCGGGTGCCCCAGTTCAGCCTAAGACGCTCCGTTATGCCTATTCGTCCGTTTCCGCCGTAACTTCTTCATCCGAACTCGGATTTGAGTGATTCCAAGTGTGTTGGAAAGCTGACGAGGAGTTCTACAAGTTCCAATGATTAAATCATCCACAGGATAAATGAGACACGAAGGGTATTTCACTGTTTGTGAACGATACGAGGTTCCCGATCGGTTCATATCTTCACCATTCCGAAGTTCCGTTGTTTCACATAGTTCGTCGGTTTACTTCAAGCGTTCGCCGACATCAATCAAGCTTCTGTGAACCAGATGGTGACGTTCATCATCATCTCTTAGCCTCGAGCTGTTCGTAGAGATCTATAGGCAATTTTCAATGCCTACACTTGATCTACACGTTCTTAAACCCAAACGCACCAATTTTGGGGTGAATCCGTCGTGTTTTGACCCTTTATCCACTCGCTGCAATTTTAACGATTTCGAATGAATAGAACTTTTTGCACGGCTCAATGAATGGTCAAAACACGACGGGTTCACCCCAAAATTGGTGCGTTTGAGTTTAAGAACATGTAGATCAAGTTCAACGGAGCGGATCGCAAAAATTTTTTAGGAAATGATGTGATTTTAGACCGCGTCCTTAGGTGGGAGCCTAGGGTGTCACCTTAGATTCACTTTTCTCTATATGAGAGAGAGAGAGAGAGAAATATGGAGAAACTTGGTACCAAGTTTCTTCATTGAACTTGGTAGTGAGGTGGCCAAATCCCCACCCTACATCACACCTTGAAGAGAGAGCCTCAATCACTATTCATCTACTTTAAAAAAAAGCTTTATTTTCAAGGTGTGATGTAGGGGGGTGATTTGGCCATCTCACTACCAAGTTCAATGCAAGAACTTGGTACCAAGTTTCTCTATTTTTCTCATATATATATATATATATATAGTGAGAGAGAAGATAATGAAAATGCAAGGGGATGTTGAGCCTGATGCATTCACTTACAACATGGCGCTCTATGCAAACTAGGGCCGATGGATAATGCTACCTAAGATTTACTTTTTGCATTACCTATATTTGCATTATCTTTGGTCATTCTATTCGAGGACAATGGAAAGAAGCTATGAGCACTACAACAAAATGCACTCCGCTCAAAGCTAGGTTTTGTACCGACTCCGACGACGGAGGAGCAGGAGGATGAGGCATATCCTTCGCCGATGTTTGCGTCTTGGGATTCATCGCCAACCAGGATTATTTTTTCGCTCAGGGTAAAAAAAATTCCTAGCTACGTCACTGCTCTCATGAGAATGTATTTTCTACGATCTCGGAGTCTTAGCCGCTGAAGGCCAATTTCCATAGCAAACAGGTTACATGCATTCACTCGTGGTTCCTGATCTTTTTTTTTTCTCCCGCCTTGATGAAGACATAAGTGGGAGAATTCATAATCAAGGATCAAAGGAATAAATCCAGCTGTCTCCTTTTTAAGTACTTTTCACAAATGAAAGAGGCATGTGCTTCAATAGGAAGGACATCCCCACAAATCACAGCGTTGGCGCACTTATAACTCAAAGCTTAGTTTATGCCTCATGTATCGTGGCTAAATTGGGACGAGTCGATTAAAGTTGGACAAAATCATAGGCTCTGAACTCTGAAGACAATCCATTTTGAATCTTTTTATTAAAAAATAAATATAGCACCTAGAGAATAATGCACGGGGCCATTCATTAATACACCTAATGGAGCATTAGGGACCTTTCAAGATATTTTTTCCCTCCCTCTTTTTTTTAATGAACTTTCAAGATGTTTTTTGAACATGAGGGTGTAAATATGAACTTCTTTCAACGAAAAAACTCTTTCATTTTCCTCCTCTTGATGACAATTTATTTCTTTATGGGCATGAAGATGCATCTAAAAACAAGGATAAACAAAGACACACAAAAACTAGGTCTCTTTCCGGCCTCTACAATGGCATCTGGTTGGTCTAGAAAAGAATTTAGCGCAGAGTAAGGAAAGAAAAAGAAGTGAAATGAGGTCTTCATGACTTTGAGGAAGATAACATGACTACATTACTAAAGCTAATCATGTTTTAGGGTGAAATCCTACATTGAGAGCCCCCTGTAGAACATCACAAAGAGATAATATAGAATATGACTATCAATTTTATATTACAAACAATATGCAAAACTTTAAAAAAATCAATATGAACAATCAAAATATCAGTGTAAACAAAATACTAAAACATTCTTAACATTCTTTCTAGCCCATGAATTGATCAAGCATTATGGCAGGAAATCCTCAACTCCAAGAGCTATCCTTAACATTGACTTAAGGAAAGCTTTTGATACAATAAATTGGAAATTCATTGAAGATATGCTTACTGACCTGGGCTTTCCAAATAACATGATTAAATGGATCATGCAGTGTATCAGTACACCAAAATACTCTGTATCTTTAAATGGCACACTTCATGGTTATTTTGAGGGGGCTAGAGGTTTAAGGTAAGGAGATCCTCTCTCTCCATACTTATTTGTTCTAGGAATGGAATATCTTTCAAGAAGATTAAGTATGCTTAAAGATGACAATCTGTTCAAGTATCATCCAAAATGTTCAAAGCTGAAAATTTCTCATCTCTTCTTTGCTGATGATTTATTGCTCTTTTGCAAAGCTGACCTATATTCTATTGCAAGATTAAAGGAATGCCTCTCAGATTTCAGCTGTGTCTCTGGTTTAGAAACAAATCCTAGCAAATGCTCTATATATATGAGTGGTATTGGTGATGACTTAAAGGCTCAAATCTGTGCTCTTCTTAACTTTTCTGAAGGAGTATTGCCTGTGAGATACCTGGGTGTGCCATTAATTTCCAAGAGGCTATCTTATATGGATTGTTCTCCATTGATTAATAAGATATCTGCCCAATTTCAAAATTGGCAAAAGAAGAAAACTTTGTCCTACGCAGGAAGACTGGAGCTGATCAAAACTGTTATACTGGGTATCCAAAATTTCTGGACTAGTAACTATGTACTCCCAGTTAAAGTTCTGGAAAAGATTGATAGTCTCTGTGCTCAATTTTTATGGAATCATAAAATTCATCTGATTTCATGGTCTGCAGTGTGTCAAAGCAAAGAACATAGAGGTTTGGGGATCTACTCTGCTAGAGAATGGAATCTTGCAGCTGCCATGAAACTCCTTTGGATGATACATCTCAAGAAGGATTTATTGTGGATTAAGTGGATTCATGGACATTACCTAAAGCAGTCAAATATCTGGAGAGTACAAACTAGAATAAACGATTCATGGATGTGAAAGCAAATTCTTAAAGTGAGAGATAAATTGATATTCAAGTTTGGCAGTGCTTCAAATATGCAAAATATTATCAGCAGGTGCTGCGTGGGAGAAAAAATACAGATATCTTCTATCTATAATGAAATCATTCTACAAAATGCACCTGCTACTTGGTCTAGAACAATCTGGGATAGTTGGCTATATCCTAAGCACTCTTTCATCCTCTGGCTTGCTACTCAAAACAGACTATTGACAAAAGACAGGCTGTGTCACTTGAGAATCCTTGACACAAATTTTTGTGTGTTGTGCACTTATCAAAATCCAGAAACCTGTAGACATCTCTTCTTTGAGTGTGAGTTTTCAGCTACTATCTGGAACAAAGTTATGGACTGGATCAAATTCAAATGGAGATCCTGTAGCTGGGAATGTATTATGCAATGGTATAGTCTGAGGCTGAGAGGTAAAGGATTCATGAAAAAGCTTAAAAGATTAGCACTGTCAGTCACAGTGTATAATATATGGAAAGAAAGGAACCATAGAATTTTTCGGCAAGAAGCAAGGGGGACTGAAATTGTGTTTCGGACAATGAAGCATCTGATTCTTTCTAAAATTCTCAATGATGATGTTCCTCCTCACATAAGAGAAAGAATTGAGCATTTGTAAAAAACAAATATAGTTGTCCTTCCAGTTATATCTGGAATGTTTTGATGTACTCAAATTTCACATTTTGGTTATGAATAAAAATTTTTCATTGACCAAAAAAAAAAAATACTAAAACAACGAAAGTGCTATGAAAAACAATACAATCATCAACTTTAAAATTATACTCGGACACTAGTTGCATTCTATTGGTTTCACATATGTTTTCTTTGTAGGGCCCATTATATGAATTTGTTTCCCCTGTTTTAGTGTCTAATTATTAGCATGTAATTCAACACTGACACTGCATTTACTTTTTAAAAATCTGTAAATCTATTAATTAGCATAACCTACGTACTATTTGGTCCTAAAGAAGACATAAAAAAACCATCAAGTCCTTGTTGGTCGACTAAAACTTTTCAGTTTAATATATCTTGTCTACTATTTGGGGCTCTTGAACTCAAGCGATCCCATAATTTTATTTTTATTAGTAGTACTTTTATGATTTTTTTCCTTTTGGATAACTCAAGTTACTTGTAAAATCAGGGAACTTAATCCAAATTTCTCTCCTTTTCTAGCTCTGAAGATGATGGACAAGAACCTAACATTGAGGTTGGTGATTTGATGGATCTAAGGACCATTGTTCTGGAGAATGGCATCATTAAAGCATTAATTAAGTTAAAGAGTAATGCTTGCTGCATAACCTTTTTTCGACATTATTTTTTGCATGTCGGTGGTTGGATCACTTAGGTAGTGTTCGGCAATTACTCTAAAATTGGGTCAAGGCTAATCCTAACTCTGTTTTTGACAAAACTAGTTTTGTTTTAGACTAAGGAGGAGGTGGTCTAAAATAAAGCTAGTTTAGAGGTCAAAATTGGCCTTAGAAAAACAAACCGAAGTTTGCACCAGATAATGTTAGGGTTGTACTTTTCATTATTTTTAGAAGTTGCTGTAGAATTGGCAACACAGTTGAAAAGTTCAGGAAATTACACGCAGAAAACTGTTTGGAAGCTTTCCGGTCGACCGCGAGATCAGCTACGGTCGACCGGAAACGTGCACAGGTCGAAGATAGATTCTGAAGTTGGGGACGGTCGACCACCAGGGAACGATCGAGATAGCCATACCCTATAGTCAATTTATGTCTCTATCATTCCTGGGCGGTCGACCGTGATGAATTTGGCATTCGACCGCTAGTCGGGTCTAAGTCAGGTTTTGGTTTCCTGACCCGTTTCGTTTTGTGTTGGTATATAACCCTAAACCTGATTAATTAGGGTTAAGCAAGGACGATTTGAGTAGACTTTTGAGAGAGTATTGTGCATCCTTTGTGGGAGGATTTGAGAAAGATCTAGAGAGCTTTATTTGAGGGTTTTTGGTGAGATTTGTAACCCTATTTGTAATTCTCTTCATCTCTAATAATAAACCCCCCTGCCCTGTGGACGTAGGCAACTTGCCGAACCATATAAATTGGTTTGTCTTGCTATGATTGTGACTTGTGCTTGTATTTTAGTTGTGATCTTTCTCGTTCTTGTTCGTGCATTATTTTGCTTTCGAGTTCCGCTACACATAACAACTGGTATCAGAGCTTCGGGTTTGACTTTGGGCTTGTTCGAAGGATTCTCTATGGGATTCTTATTTGAAGAATTAGATCGGCAACATGGGTGATTCAAGCATATCAGGTTCGTCTCTTACGAAGGCAATACAGAGTCTGAGCATCAATAATATGAAAATTGATGTTCTGAAGTTCAATGGCAAGATCAATTTCGGTTTGTGGAGGTGCCAGGTGATGGATGCATTGGATGTACAGAATTTAGAGGAGACTCTTAAGTTACAAAAGAAACTTGAAGACATAGAGGATAATGTTTTGAAGAAGATAAACAATAGGGCTTGTGGAGTTATTCGATCATGCTTGACGCCAGATCTTATTTATGATGTGATGAATAGGACGTCGGCGAAAAGATTATGGGAAACACTCAATGAAAAGCATCTTACGAAGAGCATTGAGAATCTGCTTCACTTGAAGAAGAGGTTTTACCAGTTCAAAATGAAGAGGGGTGTTTCCATTAGGAAGCATGTAAATAACTTCACAAAGTTGCTTTCAGATATGTCCAATGTGGACATCATGGTTGAGGATGAAGACAAAACGATGTTACTTTTGTGTTCGTTGCCGAAGGATGATTATGGTACATTTGTTCTCACTATAATAAATGGAAAAAATATTATTAGCTATAAGAAGGTGACCTCAGCATTGGTGAACTATGAGTTGAGGAAGAGTGATGACGAACCCTCCGAGAAGGCATCGGGAGATGCATTAGCAGTTCGAGGCTGTAGTCCAAACCCTCGCTAGTTCAACCGCTTAAAATCGAAGAATAAAGGTGACCATAAGAGTATTGGTAGGAATCAATGTTGTTTTTGTAAAGAAGATGGACATTAGAAGATCGACCGCCCAAAGTTAAAGGACAAAGCTGGGAAGAACAAGGGGAAAGTTGTACAAGCTTTAGAAGTGAATGTTGTAAAACCTATTGGCGAGCATTCAGATTCAGATTCTTCAGGCTATTTATGTCCTGCATGTGGAGAAGAACTTGGAAAAAGCAGATTTTTGGTTATAAGTCGACTCATGCACAGGCATAAGTCGACTTATGGTAAGTCGACTTATGTTTGTGCATGAGTCGACTTACGTTCTGCTCTGGATTGTTGATTTTGGGCTCTGGCAAGTCGACTTATCAGGTCTGATAAGTCGACTTATGATCTCTTCTCCAGTTGCTGTTTTTCGCTCTGCCAAGTCGACTTATGCAGACTGATAAGTCGACTTACGACGGGTTTTTTGGAAAGTTAGAGTTCCTATTTGCAGTCTGTTTGGTTTTCTGTTTTGGTATAAATACCAATACGATTTGAGGGTTTTGTAGGAGCGTTTTGGGGGATTTTGGAGCACAAAAAGAGAGATCTTTCTGAGCTATTTGTTAGGGTTATTGGTTAAGAGGTTAAGAGATTTGTTGGTGAGATTAGTTGGTTCGTTTGAACGATTTGTAATCTTAATTTGTACTCTCCTTCTCTATTAGTGGAAACCCTCCCCCTTCTTGCCCCGTGGACGTAGGCAATTGCCGAACCACGTTAAAATTGGTGTTTGGTTTGTGCATTGATATTTGGTTGTTTTTGGCCTTCTTGGATCGGTGTTTGTTTTGGTTCCTCGATTTTTGATTGTTTTTGGCCTTCTTGGATCGGTGTTTGTTTTGGTTCCTCGGCGCCGCCGTCAGCACAACAAGTGGTATCAGAGCATATCGTTGTTGGGCACTACAAGTGATATCAGAGCTCGGGCTACGCTTGGGCTATTTGGAGGAGTAGATCGCTTTGAAAGTTCATCTAGGGCTCCGTTTGGTGATAAAGGTGGGATCTTTTTGGTAAAAATCTCGTCTTTTTCAGTTTGGATCTATTTCTCGTTTGTTTCCGCATTGGTTTGGTGGTGCTTTGAGGATTATGGCCGAGAAAGAAGGAGTTGTGGGCAGTACTTCCGGCGTGAAGACCGTCCAAAGCTTGAATATCCACTCAATGAAGATTGATGTGGAAAAGTTCAATGGCACAAACAATTTTGGACTTTGGCGATGCGAAGTCATGGATGCGCTCAACGCGCAAAATTGGGAAGATACATTGGAGTTGGTCGGGAAACCGGATAATATTGATGAAAAGGTTTGGAAAAAGATGAATCGAACGGCGTGTGGTGTGATTAGGTCTTGTCTCACTCAAGATCTAAAGTATGATGTGATCAATGAGACTTCTGCAAAGAAGATTTGGGAGATCATTGAGAGCAAGTATTTGACCAAGAGTGTGGAGAATTGCTTGCATTTGAAGAGGAGGCTTTACCACTTCCAGTTGAAGAAAGGAACCTCCATTGGTGATCACATGAACCACTACACGAAGCTTCTTGCGGATTTGGCGAATGTAGATGTGGTGATTGAAGATAAGGACAAGGCGTTGTTGTTGTTGAGTTCCTTACCCGACGAGGAATATGAGACCTTCGTTCTTACTCTTATTAATGGGAAGGCATCTCTTTCGTATAGTGAGGTCACCGCTGCACTTGTGAATTATCAGCTTCGAAAGAAGGATAAGGAGACTTCGATAGAGCCGGTAGCGGGGGCGTTGGTTGCAAGAGCAAAGGGTCCAAACCGTAGTGGGAGGTCGTAGTCTAGAGGGGCACACCTTGGAGTTCGTAAGAATCAGTGTGCCTTTTGCAAAGAAGATGGACATTGGAAAGCCGAATGCCCAAAGTTAGTTGATCGAGCCGGGAAGAATAAGGGAAAAGCTATTCAAGCTTCAGAGACGAATGTTGTCAAGGCTAGTGGCAACAATTCAGATTCAGATTCTTCGGGCTACTCGTTATCTGCACTGCC